CACAACCAGCACCCCATTTTCGTCTTAGTGGCTTTATCCCCTTACTTGAGACGAAATGACAAAAAAAGACAAAGCTGTCATTAGGAATTAATCAGAATTGAATACATTGTATTAATATTGAACGAGGTGAGTTTAGAATCCTTCGTTGCATTACGGTTTAAGGGTCACCACACGTACTGCAGTCGTAGCAGCAGGGGCGTGTCTTGGGCAATATAGCCTGAGTGTTTCCTTCTCCTAGCCCACCGGTTGCCGCCCAATCCTGCAGGAAGAGATCTTTCCAGTTATTTGCCTTTAGGTGCGGGAGGGGGTTAAAATGTATTTTTACCTTTTCCAGCACGTAAATGAGTATAATGAACCCGACTGGAATTCGAACTTCGCTCTGCAGTTCCCCAGGCCGATCCACTGTCAATGACTCCACCGTGAGTCTAGATATTAAATGTAAATGTAAGTGGCCTGTTTTAAAATTTACATGGCGTCCCGGGAGTCATCTAGTGTTTAATAATCTAGTAATTTCAACATTGTTATTATTATTATTATTCAAAAATTATTTCATACAGAATGAAAATTCAAACACTGCTAATATATGCCCATTTAATTATGTACAATTGTAAATTCATGCTACGTCACGAAGCCGTCGTTATTCAATGAAGAGAGAAGCTATAATTTACCAGATAGCTGTCTCTATTTTTGACACTTCACATTGCATATGGTTTATTGAAAGAATACGTGAGAATTTTGACACGCACTCATGAATACCAGAGTGAGATTTTCGAGCTTGGGTTTGAAATCGAGGCTGTTCATTTTTCAATAGTATGCTTTGTAAATCTGGCGATGCCAGTGTTTTTCTAAATATTTACTTTGACTTTGCATTTTTTTATTTGTTATTCTATTTCTCCGATTATTCGTTCGACATTTTTCCTTCTTTCTTTCGTTCCTTAATTTTTCTCTTACTAACACCTTTTTTTTTTCTTTTCCTATGATCTTTTCCTACGATCTTTTCCGATAATCTTTTCCTACGATCTTTTCCGATAATCTTTTCCTACGATCTTTTCCTATGATCTTTTCCTGCGATCTTTTCCTATGATCTTTTCCTGCGATCTTTTCCTATGATCTTTTCCTACGATCTTTTCCTACGATATTTTCCGATGATCTTTTCCGATGATCTTTTCCTATGATCTTTTCCTGCGATCTTTCCCTACGATCTTTTCCGATAATCTTTTCCTATGATCTTTTCCTACGATCTTTTCCTACGATATTTTCCGATGATCTTTTCCTAAGATCTTTTCCGATGAATCTTTTCCTACGACATTTTCCTACGATCTTTTCCTATGATCTTTTCCTACGATCTTTGCCTATGATCTTTTCCTACGATCTTTTCCTATGATCTTTTCCTGCGATCTTTTCCTATGATCTTTTCCTACGATCTTTTCCGATAATCTTTTCCTATGATCTTTTCCGATCTTTTCCTTTTCTACGATCTTTTTCTTTTTTTCCTACGATCTTTTCGATGATCTTTTCCTATGATCTTTTCCTACGATCTTTTTCGATAATCTTTTCCGATGATCTTTTCCTATGATCTTTTCCTATGATTTTTTCCTACGATCTTTTCCTATGATCTTTTCCTACGATCTTTTCCGATAATCATTTCCTATGATTTTTTCCTACGATCTTTTCCTATGATTTTTATTTCTCTTTTGTTATGCTTATATGGAACCTTTCGTTTACTTTCTTTTGTTATTTTTTTAAATTTTTCCCAACCCCCAGTCTTCCTGTCTCCTTTTTCATTTTGAGATCACCAGTGGCATATTTTTTTTAAATTGGCGCCAAAAGTAGTTGTTTTGTACTTTAATTAAGAGAAAATTATTTTAAATGGTTCAATAAGTGACACTTGAATTTATTTATTAGGAAATTTTTTATGAAAAAAGGAGAAAAAGTCATTTTATGATTAAATTTTGCCCTTATCAAAATATCCTCCTTTTGCTTTGATTATTGTAGCACAAATGTTTGATATTCGTTGGAAAAGTTTCTCTCTTGACATCGTTCATTTTACAATGACTCAAAGAGCTCTTTTTTCATTTTATGGATGGAACGGTTTCGCTCTTAAGTCAAGTTTATCCTATGGCTTCACACATTTGAACTGTAGTGTACACACACATACGCACACACACACACGCATAAACTTCTATGTAAACAAAAGACTATGTCATATTTGACGGTGAACATCAAAAGTGTAAAATCCATATAATCACTCTGATGATGGCTCATGTGAGTCGAAAGGTTAGATCGACGACGATCAATATAATAATGAAATATCCAAATGCTGGACTGTGTTTGTTTTTATTTTCTCTTGAAACTAAACCCATTCATTATACGACACTTGGAAAGGCTCATCATAAAACATAATAGACATCCATTGTCTGTTATATTTAACAATTTATGCTTGTGTATATATATATATATATATATATATATATATATATATATATATATATATATATATAATTATTTAATTTATTTTTTTAATTGTTATTTTGATGAATACACATATTCGAGTAAATGCGCTGTTTTTTTTAATTAAAAAATATTTTTTATCCAACTAAATCTACCGGCCTGAATATTCGATAAATCTTCTTAGAAGAATACGCGTCCTCCAACAAGATATATATTACCAAGCATAAATGGCATAGAATTTTTGGACAAAGATAAAATTTAGATATAAACTGAAAATGCATCAGTTTATTAATAGCTACAAAGAACTGGAAATTGTGGAGAGCCATGATCACCAACGCCCTAAAGGTACACGAACAAAAAAGAAGAAGGTACACCATCGAACTATTTCTATACATTTATCCTATGATATCTTTATATATATATATATATATATATATATATATATATATATATATATATAATTCTTTTTTAAATATGATTCCATCGTGATTCAGAAATTATTATGTTCAGAAACTGGTCTTGATGACTGCTGTCCAATTTTGAAATTAATAGTAGTTTCTGTGTCGCGACGGAATCATATTAAAAAAAAAAAAAAGAAAAAAAAAAGAATTATAATCTAGACTCTACTTCTGTACAGAGCACTGTTTTTTTAAAAATAAAAACAATAATACTAAAGAACTTTGGTTCTTACCTATTATATCAATACACACACACCCGCACCCCCAGCACACACACAAAAAAAAAAAAAAAAATATATATATATTTTAATTATTTAAAAACGAAATGATTTCATCGCGACACAGAAACTACTATGTCTCGAAACTGGTCCACAATTGTTAAAGTTTAATTTCAATATTAAACCTTAACTTTAGATGACCGTTTCGTTCTCAAGAGATGTTTAGAATAACTAACTAATGAATAGTCATCTATATATATATATATATATATATATATATATATATATATATATATATGTGTGTGTGTGTGTGTGTGTGTGTGTGTGTGTGTGTGTGTGTTGATATACTATGAAAGAACTGTTAGATTGATGATCCGAAGTTGTTTAGTATTTTTCTTTGTATTTAAAAAAAAAATCCGTACTTGATACAGACAGAAGTAGAGCTTAAAATTATAAGTATTTCAAAAAATATGATTCCATCGCGACACAGAAATTACTATGTTTAGTAAATGGTCACTCGTATTCAGGTTTAATTTCAATATTAAACATTAACTGTTGGATGACAGCAATCCTCAAGCGAGGTTTGGAATAAGTAAGCAATGAAATGTTCTGCTCATTCATAGTTTTGAAATGGATGTATAATCTGGAGTTTGTTTTTTCATTATCAAGGGGTCTTTGCTTTGATGAAAGTAGGAATGTTTATTATATGTCAAGTTTTTGGAATGTAAGTTGGGTTGGAAGATTTTTTGTCAGGTTACAATGGCAATTCCTATCAGGCTTTGTTGTTTTTATTTCTGTCTTCTAAAAGTCACACTGACTGATTTTCTAGTTACAGTCTTTTTGTTGCTTATTTATTTGTTTCATGTTGAAGATTTGTTAAAGGGGCGTTAGAATTATGATTTGGTTATATTTTTAAACCTATAGTTTTAATTGAATTTGACAATAGATTTTATATTGTATTGTGTAATTATTTATATATAGTATTGTGGACTTTTATAAGATTTAATTTCACTTGTGAATGATTTTCTTAACCATTTATAAAATACTAATTTTTAAGACGAATATTTGTTGGTGTCTGCAAAAACCGTTATTTCATTTCTTTGATTTGATAATTTTTTGTTTTTTAGAAACTTCATAATGTGTAGTTTTTCATGTAGGCATAAAGGGCATCAGTCATCCCAGGTTCTACAAGTTTTTGTTCTATTTATTATTTTTCATTTTACTGTTTATATTTTATTTGTTATATAATCTAATGGACTAACACACACACATATATATATATATATATATATATATATATATATATATATATATATATAAATTTACTAATATATATGCGTGTGTGTGTGTGTGTGTGTGAGTGCGTGAGAGAGGGACTGAATGAGCGAGTACAAGAAATAAAAAAAACTTCAGTGAAATCATGCAACTATCCTAAATTAAATATTTACAGCAGTGGCAAATAAAAGAATGGTTAAAAATCGGAAAAAAAGTCTTCTGGAATTTATAGAAACGTGTAACGAAATCTTAAAAGAAGGCGGGTGAAAGGAAGAGAAGGGGACAGATGAAAGAGAAACAAGCAAAAGATAAACGTTATTTGTACAAACAAGAAAAGAAAAGACGCAACAAAAGCACGGACGAGAAAAAAGGGAAGACGAAGAAAAAAAAAAAGCAAGTGTGACCGGAAAAGGAAACAATGAAATCGAATGAAAAATATTGGCATAAACAAGTTTATCGTTTTGAAGTAGGAAGATGAAATCTATCAATCGATAAATCAATTGACGAAATCAAATATGACTGTTGGAATATGGTGGGTCGTATTTCATTAAATCGGCTACAAACTGTAGAAAAGATATTAACATATTCTTGCAAACATTTAGTGAACAGAAGAAGAAGAAGAAGAAGAAGAAGAAGAAGAAGAAGAAGAAGAAGAAGAAGAAGAAATCCAGAATAATAAGAAAACGAGAAGAATAAGAAAACGAGTTGAAGAAGAAGAAGAAAAAGAAAACGAAAAGAAGAAAAAAAGAAGAAGAAGAAGGAGAAGAAGAAATCGAGAAGAAATCAAGAAGAAGAAGAGTAAGAAGAAGAAGAAATCGAGAAGAAGAAAAATGAAGAAGAAGAAGAGTAAGAAGAAGAAGAAATCGAGAAGAAAAATGAAGAAGAAGAAGAGTAAGAAGAAGAAGAAATCGAGAAGAAGAATAATGAAGAAGAAGAAGAGGAAGAGGAAGAAATCGAGAAGAAGAAAAATAGAGAAGAAGAAGAGTAAAAAGAAGAAATCCGGAAGAAGAAAAATGGAGAAGAAGAGTAAGAAGAAGAAATCGAGAAGAAGAAAAATGGAGAAGAAGAAGAGTAAGAAGAAAAAGAAATCCGGAAGAAGAAAAATGGAGAAGAAGAAGAGTAAGAAGAAGAAGAAATCGAGAAGAAGAAAAATGAAGAAGAAGAAGAGGAAGCGGAAGAAATTGAGAAGAAGAAAAATGAAGAAGAAGAAGAGTAAGAAGAAGAAGAAATCGAGAAGAAGAAAAATGAAGAAGAAGAAGAGGAAGCGGAAGAAATTGAGAAGAAGAAAAATGAAGAAGAAGAGTAAGAAGAAGAAATCGAGAAGAAGAAAAATGAAGAAGAAGAGGAAGAGGAAGAAATCGAAAAGAAGAAAAATGGAGAAGAAGAGTAGGAAGAAGTAAGTGAAATAGAGATCTAGGAAAAGAAGAAATCAAGAAGAAGAAGAAGAAGAAGAAAAAGAAATCGAGAAGAAGAAGAAGAAGAAATCGAGAAGAAGAAGCAGAAGAAGCAATCGAGAAGAAATCAAGAAGAAGAGTAAGAAGAAGAAATCGAGAAGAAGAAAAATGGAGAAGATGAAAAGTGAGAAGAAGAAGGTGAAATAGTTATCTAGGAAAAAAAGAAATCGAGAAGAAGAAGAGTAAGTGCAACAAAAAGAAGGAGAAATAGGAATCGTGAAGAAGAAAACAAGAAGAAGAAGAAGAACAAGAACAAGAAGTAGAAAAAATCGTGAAGAATAAGAAATCGAGAAGCAGAGGAAAAAAACTAGAAGAAGAAGAAAAAGAAATTGAGAACAAATCAAGAAGAAGAGTAAGAAGAAGAAGAAATCGAGAAAAAAATGGAAAAGGAGAAGAGTAAGAAGAAGTTAAAATAGATATCTAGGAAAAGAAGAAGAAGAAGAAGAAGAAGAAGAAGAAGAAGAAGAAGAAGAAGAAGAAGAAGAAGAGTAATAGCAAGCATAAGAAGGAGAAATAGAAATCGAGAATAAGAAAGCTCCATTTTTCCCACATGGCAATGTTTAAAAAATGAAATTCACTGATGCGCTTAAATCTGCGGAAAATAAATCACATCGCTAAATTAGACATTGATGAATTTCTAAAAGGGATCAATACGGATGGAGTTATCGCGCCATTCTTATCTTGATGAAATTCATTCGGAACTCGTTTTATCTTTTCCTCTCCCGCTAACAGAGGCGCGTGCACAATCTTTAATACGCTTTTCCCACCAAATACAAGGCCCAGGAGCCACTCAGTGTAGAGAGTTACTGAATTTCATAGAATCCAGAAGAGTGAGGAAGAAGTACTGCTTACGAGCATATATAAGATAGATAACAGCTGACCCATTCTAAAAGCTGGGCTGGGGTACTGCGAGACAGGCGGATTTCTTTGGTAACAAAGAAAAGAATACTGAGCTGTTACGTGACATCTGTCCTTCTTTATGGCAGCGAATGTTGGACGATTCCCTCAAAGATGAAGAAGAGACTCGAGGCGACGGATATGTGGTTCTACAGAAGGATGCTATGATAAAAAAAAAACAAAAAAACTTTCTCTTAAAAAATTTGACGTTAAGTGAGACACTGAGATCCGTAGACGTATTGGGATGGCCAAGGACGCATTCCAAAAGCTAGGCAGAGTATTAGGAGACAGGAGGATTTCTTTGGAAACAAAGAAAAGAATACTGAGCTGTTACGTGACATCTGTCCTTCTTTAAGGCAGCGAATGTTGGGCGATTTGCTCAAAGATGAAGAAGAAATTCGAGGCGACAGAGATATAGTTCTACAGAAGGATGCTAAGGATATCATGGGCCGATCGTGTGACCAACGATGCGGTCTTAGAGAGGTTGCAAACAAGGAGGAGGCTTATACTTAACATCAGCAAGAGACAGCTGAAGTTTCTGGGACACATCATGAAGAAGGAGGGCCTAGAGAATTTGATACTCACAGGTCGTATAGATCGAAAGAGAGGCAAGGGAAAACAACGTGTGACCTAACTGGCGGACTTAAGCAAGTAGATGACAGAACGTAGTCCGTGGGAGGAGGCAGAGAGAGGGAACTTGTTTGAGAGCTGCAAGGGATAGAATGGGTTGGAGAGCCATGATCGCCTACGTCCTGAAATAGGAACGGTGTGACGAACTGTTGACCCTGTGTACATGGTACACCGGCTCGTGGCTGTGAAGATCTGGACGGGTGGAACGAAGGAATACAGTTTGCCTTATTATTTGCCATGAAAATTAAACATTTTAATGACACCATTCAATGTTCCATAATTTCCTCTCTACTTTTTTCCACTTCATAAATGTTTGTCAACACAAATGAAACAGGAGAAACCAGAAGAATCACAGACATTTACCTAAAATATGGGCGTCTTCTTTTTGCGGAACAATGGCGGCTACGCTACGTAGCATATAATCGATGAGGTTCTTGAATCGTTTCTTGATATATATATATATATATATATATATATATATATATATATATATACTTAAAATATTATGGTCTATTTTCCATAATTTTGCTACATCGAGTTTCGGTCTCGCGACCGTCACCAGGCAAAAGCGTGGAGATTTACACATATTATTAAAAATGATAATTTTTTTCATATCTTTTTGGGATGTTAAATATTTTCGATATCAGACATTCTCTTTTTTGTGTGTTAGTTTCCCAAATGTCTTTCTTGAACTGAATATATATATATATATATATATATATATATATATATATATATATATATATATATATATATATAGTACAGGTAATAGATCCGTTGGTATATAATCCAGGTGGATCCTAGTATTATCAAATATTACAACTGATCCACAAAGATATCGATGTATTTATTACAACAGAGCATAAACCAAAATTACCTCAACATATTTCTATATCTACATTTAGTAATTAGCTAATTACGAAATGTAGACATAGAGACAGATTCAAAATTATATAATATATGTTTAAGTAAATGTGCGTGTGTTTAGGTGCGTATGGTTACTTACACATATATGTATGAATATGTAAACGCACAGATATGTGTATCTGGATATATGTATGTACATATGTGTTGGATAGTATGATGTATTCCATAGGTGTCCCGGTATTTTCCACAATTTATGAATCTATCATACAACTAATTTATTTAGATTTAATTGGTCTTAAGATTAAATCCCACATAACTTATAAATAACATCAAACCCTTATGGTCTAAATACTATTTACTGTAAATTCCAGGAAAACGCACTTGTTGATAGTATACGGAGCACCCCATAGTGGGAACCAAAATTTAATTACAGGCGACAAAAGGCTCTAGGCATAAATAAACTATAACCCCAGACCATTCTCTAGTAATCATATACATCACGCCTTCCAACTGTCACCAACACAAGCCTCTTATCATAAACAAGGCGTCTATCAGAGGAGGACTGATATTGAAAATAAATTCAAAATCCCCCCTTCCAGACAAACACTTAAGAGCTGAAGACGGCTGGGGCTCACACCAGATTAAAATATAATATACTCATGTTGAGGTAATTTTTGTTGTATATTTCAATTAAGGACTGTTGCACTATAAACAACAGCCACATGCGTTAATGCAAAGCTCTTCAGTAAAATGAATTGGAGCACTCCGGCTGATTGGCATTTGTTTACATTCGTAAAAGCAATACGCTAGATTTAGCTGTTTCTCTCTGTCGAATGAAGATAGCTCAGTGGTAGAAACTCTGACTGATCGGTTGGGTTTCGATCCGGGCTTGTGTTATTCGGATGTCTACTCGCACAGAGGAGCTAGAATAACAGGTTCAATCCCTGTCGGAGAACGCATATTTTCTACGAAATTTTTCGAATATTTAGACCGGTAAATTTAACTGATACGGTTTAATTAAACAACAGACCATTTAATTAAATAAATTATATCTATACAAATAACGCATAATATATATATATATATTCTGTTTATATATGTAGCCCCTCATATATACCCGTGCACACATAACCATATGATATATATGTAATGGTAGTGTGTAAGTATCAACATGTGTTTGTGTATATATATATATATATAATCGACTCTCCCGTCGCGTTCGACGTATGAGGGTCAGGCCGATAAGTCTCCAGGAAACCAACATCCCGACACCGGCATATGAGATTTGATTATAGTGGTGAAGGCCTCGTGCAGGACCAGCCACACTTTTTGGAGGGACGAATACAGAGACCTGGTGCACCGAATGCCACAAGGTTCCCAAACGACCCTCCGCAGGTTTTGAATTCAGAGTTGCCATCCAAGGCTATAGAACCCAGTCTGTCCTGCTATTTTAGCCATAGCTGGAGGGAGATGAAGAGGATTCATACCTTTCCCAAGGGTATTAGCACGTAAGTGAATGTAATGGATTCGACTGGAATTCGAACTAGGCTCTGCGATTCCTCAATCAAAGCCGCTATCCATTACTCCACCGTGCCTCCCTATATATATATATAACTCCAAACACTTGTTTATATTAAATAAATTATATGTATACATTTATTATATTTTAAATATTAAATAAATGTATACATATATATATATATATTTATATATAATATAATATATATATATATATATATATATATATATATATATATATATATATATATATATATATATATATTCTGTTTATATTTGTATAGATATATTTATTTAATATAAACACGTGTTTGGAGATATATATATATATATATTTTAACCATTTTATCTTTGTATATTTGCCCTAAGTTATAATTCAATAAGTGGTTGGCATTTATTTAAGTCTGAATTATTATTGGTTGTGATTCTCATTGTCTGTCATATGTGGATGTATGTATATATCTATCGGTGTCTATGTGTATGTAGAGTGTATTCATATATATACGTCTCCCTTTTTTTCATAGAGATGTTCATGTTTTCCCCACCACCATATGTATGTGTGTGTGTGTGTGTGTTTGTGTGTGTATGTGTGTGTGTGTGTGTGTGTATCTAATTATGTCTGGGTGCTTATGTATTATAATCTGATTGTGTTTTTGTTGTCTTGACGCGTGAGTTTAAGACCACATCCACAAACTTTAAAATAAAAACGGAAATGAAAGGGAAAGGGAAAAATATATATATACATGTATTATCAAATGACCGGATATATTGTAGCGTCCTTGTCGAACATAATTTCAATGAAGAAATGAATTGAATAAACATATATATTTTTCTTTTCTCAATAATTTTGTAGTTTTAAAACTTAATAGTGATTAAATTTGGATTTTAAAATTACCAATTTTTAATTTTAATATTAAATTTTATCATATGATTTTATAATTATTAGTTAGTATAAATTATTTTTAATATTACATATTTAAAGATCTGAATAGCTATTATAGCAGGATTTCGTTGTCAAGCTTTTGAATCTTTCTATACTTCGTTTTT